GCTTCCCCCACCCCTGAAAAGTCCCCGAAACACAAACACCTGGTCCCTCACAACTACTTTAGGAAGAGGGCTCCGCGGAGAGCCAGGAGCTCCTGGCTCCAGTGCGTGTGAGGGACTCAGTCCCTGGGGGGGGGCACACCCTGTGGACGGGGAAGAGTGGTCAGAACTGCAGCCTGGGGACCTGCGGGGCCACAGATGTCCTCCTTCTCAGAGCTGCTTGTCCGACAATGGCCGGGCGTGGGGTGGTCAGGCCTCTCAAGATCAGAGCAAAGACTGCTTCCATAGCCAAGTGCCCCTGGAACTTCCCACTGGGCCCCAGCACCAGCCATGCGCACACACGAGGTGGGGGGTTGGGGCAGGCCCACGGGGCTTGGCGCCCAGCACCCACCTCCAGGACGTTTGGGATGATGTCATTCTCACACTGCTGCAGGAAGCGCTCCTTGTCAAAGGCGGGGTCCACCCGCAGGATCTCCGTGAGCACCTCCGACATCTCCGTCTTCGAGAACAGGCCCCCTGGGTGCAACCAAGTCAGGGGTGGGGTGAGGGCTGGGTTCCCCTCCCTGCTGCCGGCCTGGGTGTGGGGACAGTCCTGGGGCAGCCCACTCACCCAGCAAGTCTGTGACCTTGTCCGTCAGCACGCGGGACGCCCGGATGAAAGCGTTGTCACTTTCGTCATACTTCATCTTCATCTCGAAGAACCCTGCAGGGGGCAGGGTCAGGAGTCAGGGGCTCCTTCCAGAAGGACATGCCCACTCCATCGTGGGCCCCCATGCAGATCAGGAAAATGGGGGGACACCTCTGAGCCTGCTTCCTCATCAGAGGCCCACTGCACATCTGGGAGGCTGCCCCACGACCATGCTGGCTCCAGCAGAGACAGTGAACAGCCCTGATGGCAGTGCCCCTCTACCCCCATCAGCCAAGAAGTACTGGGTGTGTCCCTCAGGCTGCCTGGGGCCAACACTCCGCTACCCACTCACGGGGTGACTCTGTGGGAAGTGATCAGTCCTTTCTGACCCTGGTTTCCTCCTCTGTGAAAGGGGGGTCTGTCTTGTGCCCAGCACTCGGGGAGCAACCAATGCACGCCCACCGTCACCACCCTGCCATCACCCAGCTATGAGACGTGCACACTCACGGTTAAACACCACATTGTTGTCCCTGAAGTCCTTCCACTGCTGGTACCACTTGGAGTCCTTGTGCAGCACGACCCCCAGGGCCTCCCTGGGAAGGGCGGGGAGGCCGCTGAGCAGCAGCCGGGAGCCGCTGTTCCAAGCCCCATGCCCTCCGGCCCTCCGGCTCTTCCACGGCCCCAGGGAAGGGGGCGGCCAGATGGCGGTGTGATGACTTGTCCTCACCGCCTGGCCTCTGGCCTTCTCTACCCCATCAACCCTCTCAATTCTCTCAAAGGAGGCAGAGAATCTCAAGTGGAAAGCAACTCTACAAATTGACTTGGGAGGAACCTTTTGTGGGTCCTCGAAAAGGGACAACAGTGCAGGTGCTGAGAAGGGAGGTGAGAGGGGTGGGCCCCTCAGCCAGTCTGGTACCTACTCATTGGCCTCAAACACTTTTTCTTCCTTGAGTTTCTCTCCGGCAAACTCTTTCCTTTTCCTGAGCCGCTCAGGCCGCCGGTAGGGCCCCATCTGCCCCAGGACGCTCTCATCAATCTCCTTCTTTACCGACTCCACACCCTGCAGAACACAGCCATGCCATGGGGACGCTTGGGGGCCTCCCTGACACCCCAGACCAGCAGCGCTGGCCTGTCATGCCTGATCAACCCCACCCCCAGGCTTGAAGCCTCAGGGGAGGCATACTGCTGAGGGGAGGCCCCAGCTCTGCCTGACTCCTGACCCCGCCTCCTCCAACAGCATCTGATGCCTCCTGCTGCCCCAGATGAACTTCAGATTCTGAGCCTGATTCCTCACCCTCCCTGGAAACATCCTTTCATGGGGACTAGAGGCCAGAGGGGCATCCTGAGATCCGCCTCTGCCCCACTGCCCCCAACCAAGCTGACCCAAAGCCTGCGGATTCTACCTCCCTGAACCTCTGGAACCCATTTTCCTCTTGCCCCCACCACCCAAGACCCTTCTCCACCTCTGAGCTGCTGCCAGAGTCCTCGCCAGGCACCGGATGGCTCTGCTTTCAGGATGAAACCCAAACTTCCATGCGTGACCCTCAGGCCTCGCACCAGCCACGCCAAGCTGCGTGGGGTGCCCCGAGCTGGCAGGGCCTGCTCCCTCAGCCTGGCTGGCACTGAGGCGTCCCTGTCTCGCGTCGCTCAGGAACTGCCTGTCCCCTTCCCTGTCCCCAGGCCCTCTGAGAGCAGTAGCTTGGACTTTCTCTCCTGTGGCCCCAGGGCCAGTAGAGAGCCTAGCACGTGGGAGGCTCCAACGAGTATTGACAGCGTAAGCTCAGGACCTGGAGTAATCGTGAGCCAGTCAGTCTCCGGGTCATGAGCACAAGCTAAAGGGGTTTGTTAGGCTGACAGCAGGCCCGGGTTCTTGGTGCCTTAACCTGTAGCTCCTCAGGGCCTGTGACTTGCCCAAGGCCACCCAGCCAGGAGGGGCCGAGGACGGGTATACTGTGTACCACCTGGTGAGGTCTCTCTAGGGCTGAGCTCAGAGACAGGGACTCTGGCTCTCAGGTTTGGAGCAGGTCAGGGCCAAGGGCTCCCTCGGACACCTGGGAGCTCACCTGGGAGAGGGCTTTGAAGGCAGCCGTCCTGCCAAGCTTCTCCCCTCCTTTGGACACGGACTCAGCAGACTGCTTGGCGGTCTTGGCTGCTCCCTCCACACCCTCCTTGATTTTCCGGCCAAGGTCACTTTTACTGACTTCATCAAGACTCTACTGAGACAGAGACGGGTGCGGCGTCAGCGGGCCTGCCGGAGCTCCCGGGGCTAAGAGCGGCCCAGCCCTCCAGAGCTCATGTGGCTCCAGACCTGGGCGCACATGTTCGAGAACCCTGTGTGCAACCTCTGGGGCGCTAGGCCCTGGGGTTCAGGGCTAGAACAGGCAGGAGCCCAGAGCCCTCCAATGCTGGCATGGAAGCAGCAACCCCAGCTAAGGAAGAAGGCAAGGAGGGTGTGCCTGAGGCTGGGCTGGCCTTGAAGTTTAGGGCCCTACCCCTCTTCAGCCCCCAGAACAGAAAAGCAACAAAACTCAAGTCCCCCTTCCCCTGAAGGAGCCCACCCTCACCCCCACCCCCACCCGGGGGCAAGGCACCTCTCCACTTCTATCTTAAGGCAGGAAGAAAAACATCCTCATTTCATCCTCCTGCTAGGCTTCAGCTTCTCCGGAAGCCTCCCGACCAGGCTGGCTCCTCCCTGCTCACCACCTACACCCACTCATCCTTGGCTGCCAAGTCGCAGCCCTGCCGGGGTGCCCGCACCTCCTGCCGCTCCAGGCAATGTCCCCACCTGCTGCCGCCACCGGGAGGTGAGGAACAGCTGGGCCCTGAGAACCTTGGCCAAGAGGCTGTGGGGCCCAGAGACCATTACCTCCTTCACGGTGCCTGTGATCTCCCCCAGCTTCTTCCGGATCACTTCGCCCGTCCGCATGGTCTCGGATTCAATGGTTCTCTATGTAAAGGATGTTGCAGATTTTCGTGGCAGTACAGCAGTAACAGGACAGCCCAGGGTCCAAAGAAGCATTTTCTCAGCAGCCCCTTCCTCCCCAGACACCCCTCACCTCCCATGTCCCCCCCTCGCCTACCCACCCGGTCCCTCCCTCTCCCCAGGGGCTCAGGCTGCCCCCTAGCCTGGTGTGTGGGTCCCAGCAGTGGGTCCCAGCAGCAGAGGGCTGAGACAGGCCCCTCCTGAGCAGAGCCCCAGGCTCCACGTCTCTCTCCGGGGGGCAAGGGCTGATCTTGCCCATTCGCTCATCTGTAGTGGCGGGGTGTGCTGTTCTCAGCATTACCCTGCCCCGCCCTACCCCATCCCAGCCACCCTGCCCCAACCTCAGCCTGCTCTGCCCCCAGACGACCTCTCAGTCTGCTCCTCATACTGAATGAAAAGGAGGGGCCATCTCCCATCGGGCCAAATCCCCCACTGGCGGGACCCACATAGGTAGTCACATCCAGGTGAGAGACTTGGGGACACTCAGAGGGAAGAGGCCTCGCCCACAGCCTGGAGATGGGGGGCAACAGAACAAAACCCAAGGGGCTTGGGGCAAGTGCCTACACCCCCAGGCTCAGCCACCGTGGGCGAGATGGGGGTGGTGTACTGCCTGGCAGAGCCCTTACGGGGCACCAGGCCCCCTCGCTGGCAGGCGCCCAGCAATGCTCTGGGTGAGGTGGCAGTGTGATTAACGATACCAGCACCAAACCCACCTTCTACCCACTTTGCTCAAGGGCCACGACGGGAAGGCTCTCAGGAGCAGCACATCTCAAACTTGGTGCAAGAGGGGCCACCTGGGGGACCCATGCAGCTGCAGAGTCTGACCCAGCAGGTCCAGAGGACTCTGAATCCCTGTCAGCGCTGCTGGTCTGCAGAGAACACTGCAGTCTCTTCGCAGACCTGGAAGGCTGGGCGGCCGGCTCCTGTCCCCTCGCTCCCCGTCATCAGTGACCAAGCCTCCCCAGCTGCCCTGGCCCTGCACTTAGAGGGAATCCCTGGTCCTGGGAGGGAGCCTGCGGCCGAGGGAGACACAAAGCAAAAGGACTCACAAAGCAAAAGGACTCACGTATTTCCTCCTGGCTTCTTGGAGCGCATCTGACTCCTCCAACTTCCTGGCTTCATCTCGGAACTTTTTTATACTTTCTTTCATTTCTTTGTTTTTAGCTAATTCTTGTTTTATATTATCTAGCAAGCCAGAGAGAAAGCCTTTCCTGTTTCCAGAAGAATAGGATTTGGACTAGAAAAAAAGTGTAAAAGAAACAAAGGCTTTTTAATTTTCTCTTTTCTGTTGAAACAAGTTTAAAAGAAACAGCTATCTCTTTTAGAAGATAAAAGATAAATTTTAAAAAACCACCAGGTGATAAATTGTAGGACATCTAAATGAGAAGTTATTCAGCAATAAAAAGAAATGGGGGTGGGGGTGGGGAAAAGCTCAGTGGTAGAGTGTGTGCTTAGCATGCATGAGGTCCTGGGTTCAACCCCCAGTGCCTCCACTAACAAAAAGAAAAAAGAAAGTTACCAAAGCCGTGAAAAGATATGAACGATTCACATAATGTTATAGTTCAATTACATCTCAATTTTACATGCATATCACTAAATGAGAAGCCAGTCTGCAAAGGCTCCGGAGTATATGATTCCAACTCTTAAGATCCTGGGAAAGGTCAGTGCTTGCCAGGAGCTGGAGCTGGGGCAGGGGGAGGGAGGACAAACAAGCCAGGCTTTAGGGCAGGGAACACACTCTGTGTGATTCTGTCATGGGAGACACATTTCATCAGACATTGTTTCCATCCCATAAAATGTACAACAGCCAGTGAA